TAGAGTTCGGGAGCCACAGCTACTGAGCCCATGGGCCACAACCAGTGAAGCTTGTGGTCTGCAACAAGAGAAGCCACTGCAATGAGAAGCCTGCACAATCCAACTGGGGAATAGCCCCTGCTCACCTCGACTAGAGAACAGCCTACACAGCAACAAAGACCCAGAGCAGCCAAAAATTAATCAGTTAAAAAAAAATGAATGAAAGGATCTCTACCTGCAGCATTCAATGCCAACACCATCACCACCAGTGCCACTTCCTGGAGATGCATTTTTTTTCTCGGAAATTTTTTTTAAGATTCAATTTTTAAAGGCTGGCTATTGCATTGATTCTTTAAATGCATTCATTTCCCCCCTGATTTTATTAATATGCTTCCCCCACTGAATGTCACTCTTGCTCAAAAGCAGAGTAATTACTTCCCTGTAAGGTATGATTGGAGTGGTACGACAACAAAAAAATGCTTATGTTTATAAGTATTTCTTCCCGGTAGCTTCACTTGATACTCCATGTTTTTCTCTAAGGCATTAGATGGTCCCAATAAACTGCCGTATTAATAATAACAACATTTAGTTAGATAATTAAACCATAATAAGCTATTATCACTTTTGAATTCATTAGTTGATGAGCCAGAGGTTAAACTGGGCAAATGGGGCAAAAATTCAAAAGAGTCCATTAAAGCAAACTGGGCCTATCCTAAATCCAGGCCCCTGATCAGGGCAGCATTCAAGGGTGCCCATGAAGGCAGCTAAAGGCATTGGGGTTGGGAGAAAACAACCCAAAAAGCATATTCCCCATTTTTAAAACAAGGACACTGTATAGAGCAAAGTTTATTTTAAAATACCATAGACACGTCGGGATATGGCCCAGCTGAAAATGTCTGCGGTGGCTGAGTATCTGCCCTGCTACTGGGCTTAAGGGTTCCATTTTGCCCCTTTTTAATATAAAAATCACTATTTTTAAGCAAAAGGTTAGATCCTGGCTTCACAGTCTTAAAAACTTCATTTTATTCTTCCATTAAAAGCAACTTTACATGCAAACGCACTGCTGGTTTAACTGAAGGTGGTTCAAGTATGCTTCTTACTCTGAAATCCTTCTCCTAAATCCTAGGTATGAGTGATTATATCACACACAGAAAATAAACAACAAAGACCGCACTCACATTTGAGAATCATTTACCATCCCCACTCCCTAAGCACCCTCAAATGGGAAATGGAAATAACAAGACTGATCATAATTGGATTAAGAACTATAATTCTTTAATTCATTCATCAAATTGAGGCATTTGGAACAGTTTATTTACAGAGTTGTTTAGACAGTTTTGTGTGGTGTTTTTTAAGATAAACCAAAATGCCTTTCTGAAAGAAGTTTCAGATCCCAAATCATTAACATATGAAAACCAAATGTAGGCAATTTACAAATGGGTGTTTTAAAACAACGTTTGGAACAAAATTGGACTTTTATTTTATTAACTATCTACAAATCTAAGCTCAGGATATAGCTTATTTGAAACAGCCAAGCACTTTCTTCACCTTTCAAATAAACCTCCATTTCTCAGGCTAAAGAAGTGTGATAAGCGTGTGAGGGAACATATCAACTTCTAGCCTAGACAAATAAGTTTTCCAAGCTACTCTCAAAACTCTAATTACAGCATTCTCTGCTACCAGAGGTGATCGGACACTGGGTGAATCATCCAGGTTATGCCAATCAATCATAACAAACAATTCTACCTGCTGGAAATCTAAATAGTGTTCAGTGTTAGAACTCTAAGTTATTTGAAATCCAGTTTATTTTAGAGTAAAAAAAAACAAGTTTTATCCTGCCCTGAGTATTATAATTTTATATAATCTAGCTGCGCTTATTTGCTTAGTCATGTCTGACTCTTTTCGACCCCATGGACTGTAGCCCGCCAGGTTCCTCTGTCCATGGAAACTTTACAGGCAAGAATAGTGGAGTGGGTTGCCATGCCCTCCCTCCAGGGGATCTTACCCACCCAGGGATCGAACACAGGTCTCCCGCATTGTGGGTGGATTCTTTACCGTCTGAGCCACCAGGGGAGCCTATATAATCTAGACATACCTTCAAAACAATGGTTGCCTATCACTCAATAAAGGGATACAGCTTTTACAAGAAGACAGTTTGTTCTTTTAATCATTATATCATATTTTTCATTTGCTTTAAAGAGAAAAAAATTCCCCAAGCATTCAGGTTTTTTAAATGGAAAATGAAATTTTAAACTCTCCCTACAGCTTCTGCCTTATGCCCAAAAAGGATTAAAAAAAAAAAAAGAAGAAGCAGCAGCTATATCTCAGTACAAACTTCACTCTTGTTATTTACTGTTTACTCCATATACTCCACAGATAACATCTTTATAAGCATATATTCATTTTTTTTCTTTTACAAAACCATGTGTCAGTCTAAACAGGATGTGCATTTACATGTATAGAACTAAGTTAACTTGAAATAACCACTGGATCTCAAATGCCTGGTTATTTACCAAATAAGTTTGAGTTTTGAATCCTGTCTGCCATTCAACCAGAACTGTTCAATCTCAACAACAAAACTGTATAAGGTTTCTCTATGAAGAGTTCAAGCTCTTTTTTCCTGTATTAAGAGTACACTTTCAAGTCTGTATCAGATTGATTCAATACTGCCCACTCAAAATGGCTACAAAAAGATTTTTTTTAACCCACAAGCAAACAAAAACTCTGTTATTTCTGCATGTACAAGGTTGTTAGAAAGACCACTGGAAAGAAAGGGAAAAAAAGAATTTCAAGCAAGTATGCTGCTATATAATTAACACAAATAACTAAATAATTATTCACATCCCTTCCCATCCCCACAATTAAATGTTTTTAAACAACTCGTGTGATGAAAGATCTACCTTTTAGGCAAACAAAAGCCATCCCTACCAGTTTAAGGATTTAACTGATGCTGTATTGCATCAGTTTTAAGTGATGCTTATGATTTTTATCTTGTATACTTCTGAGGAATAAACAGTTAATGACATAATCTGCAGGAGAACTTTACACAATGCCTAAGAGAACTTTCAGTGAAAGTACTTATGATTTTAAATCATTGTGGCTGGATTTATCTAAGCTTCAGCCTCAGAGCTATATTTAAATCAGGAAGAAGCACCCCCAGAAACTCTCTCCCATGTATCAGCGTTGGAAACCAGATTCCTTTCCTATCAGAGTTAATGGCAGTTCACCCTACAGCTGAATTCTTTCAAAATTAGACAGATCAAAATTCAGCAGTTCTGTAAAGTCTCTAAGAGAGCGTCCTCCTTGTAAATGCTATAAAAGACAAAGTTAAAAAACATTTCCGTATACTTTAAAACCATCTGGCCCTTAACCTAATCACTTCTGGCAATCGAGCCTTACTCCTGGTAATCCCGATCAAAAAGTCTGCTCTGGTTTTTCCGATTGAAATGTCCATTGCCTACAAATCTCCCACACACCTTCTTGATTGGCCTGTTTTGTTTGTGTGGTTTGGTTTGGTTTGGTTTTGTGTGTGTGTGTGTGTGTGTGTGTGTGTGTGAAAGATACTAGGGGCCATTATTTATGAACAGCAAGGAAACAAATCACTCTGTCTAGTCTCTGCAGATTCCCACACTTATTACCCAAAATCCCCCAGCTCTTCCTCGGTCTTGACCTGAACGAAAGAACTGTGCTGGGCCTGAAGGCAGTCTCTTGGGGAAACCGGCTCATGCTTTTCTTGAGAAACTACTTTGGATATCTGGATATAGTGAGGATCTCAACTGGGTTAGAACTAATCCCTAAACTTTTCTCAAAAAGTACAGTTGACTGCCACCCAGAGTGCCTGGGCTGGCTGGCACTGAGAATATCGTTTTGCACAGTCACAGAATTTCTCATTTTGACCCGCTTTCAGTTGGGAAAGGAAGATAACGACATGAATTCACATTCGCCACCGCTCTGCCTTTGGTCACAGAGGCCAGCGTCTTTAGATATTCACCAGGGTCCACCTATGTATTAATAGATTCGCTTTGTAACGTGGAAGGGAAGTTACTATTAAAATATGTAAACAGTGCTTCGTGTGCATCCCATGCCAGCCGATCAATACTCAACCAACTGCTGCTAACAGACGCAAACATTTCCAAATGCAATTTGATCTCAACTCGTATAACCTCTTTTCCTGGCTTTAGGACTGGAGCCCAAAGTGCAAGCGAGGTTTCCCCAACCCCGCGCTTCAAGTGACAACACGTGAGCGGTCTCCACTTAGTACTCGGAGCGGGGTGGGGGGCGAAAAAGTAGTTGCAATTAAACATTAAAGCTTCCGGTGCCTGAAATCCCTAGAATCTACGAGGATGAGGCTCCTTTCCGAAATTCCGGGCGGGAGGGGCCGGGAGCGGGAGCTGGGGAGGAGGAGGACTGATGCGGAGAGGGATGGCAGAAAGCGAAACAAAAAGACAACCGGGGAAGCGCTCAGGTAGTGGGGTGGGCCGGGGGTCGCGCGTCCGTCCTGGGAAGGATCGGAACCACCCGCCCCCCCACCCCGCCCTGGCCAACTTTGAGGGGCTGCCGCGGGCCGCCGGCCGAGAAGCACCGACCAGCCTTAGCGTCTTCCCAGCGCTCCTCCGGCCCGCCTCGCTCATCACCATCTCCACCGCCACCACTTACAAAACAATACCGGCAGCGGCACGCAGGCTCCCCGAGCGAAATATATAAAGTTAGCCCGTTTGCTGAACTGGGTCCAAGCCCGCACTCCGGGGTCCCCGGCGGACGGCCGTCCCCCGAGCGGGGGTGGGGGACGGGGCGGCTGTCAGCCCCGAACCTCCTCCCGCCTCCCCGCGCCCCCACCCTGTCCCCCTCCCTCCGTACTTGAGGAAACTCCGCCGGCGGCCCCCTCCCTCCTTCGCCGGCTCTCCAGCTGGAGCCGCGAGCGAGTGCGGCGCGGCGGGCACGGGGAGAGCGCTGCGCCTTGGAGGGCTGCCCGCAACCACGTCGGGACCCACAACAAAGTTAAAACGCTGCGATTCACGCACCTTACCGGCTTTCCTCAGCGTCTCCTCGGGCGCGGGATGCAAAGGGGCACAGTGGCGGGCTGGGGGGCCCCCCGGGAGGAGACTGGAGATGGGTTTGGTGGCTTGCCTTTTCCACTCTGTGTGTGTGTGTCTGTGTGTGTGTGTCTGTGTGTGCGCGCGCGCGTCCCTCTCCCCCAGTCTCTGGCTCGCTCGCTCGCGCTCCCCGCGTAGCTCTCAAGGACGAGGTGAAATCCCTTGGCTGGTCATGAGGCGGCTTCAGAGACAAACAACACAATGCGAGTGCAAATAACAAAAGGCAAAAAGACAGTCGGAACAATGGGGGAGGCGAGGGCAGCGCACCCGCCGCCGGTCAGCTCGGCCCGGCGCCCGCCCCGCGGGGGTGCGGCGGGGGTTTTTTTTTAAAGAAAACAATCTGCCCTCCACTTCAAGGAGCGATAAAATGAAATGGCAGGAGGGGAAGGAGGCAGGGAGAAGGAGACTATCTCTAGATCTTGATGGAGCTCGCGTCTATAAATATGCATTCGTGTTTAGTCAAGTCCCCTTTGTCAACTTCTTCCCTGCGCTGGAACCTCACCCGCTGTCCTGGAAGCATCACCTGGGCCCCTTGGCGCCCCCCGACTCCCGTTTGCACGCGGGAAAGCCGGCGCGGAGGGCGCGCGTGGGGGTCTGCGGCTGTCAGCGGAACCTTCTGGGAGGCGAGCCGCTGGCCGCCCAGCGCCGAGGCTGGAGCGGCGAGTGGTTTGGTTTTTAAAGCGACCACTGCTCCCACGAAGAGCCGCTCTGCGCCCGCGGGTCCCCGCCGACGGCACTCCGCACCCACCTACTCCTTGACGGGTGGGGAGGTGGGTGAGGGGGAGAAAAGTTTTGAGGCGCTCTCATCTCTGCCTCTGGGATGGTTGAAGTGGTTTGGTTTTGTGTGCGTAAAGCACCAAATCCCAATGCCCAAGAACCGGGGAATGATGTTTAGTGGGGGGTCTCAACAAGGGTCGGCGGCTGGGGCTTCGACTCCTGAGTCTGCGACCGTGGAGACGGCGCAGGAAGGCGAGAGCGAGCCTCCCCGGAGTCTCAGCCCCAAAGGAAGAAACTCCGAGGGTAATGCCCGGAGCAGGAGCTGTGGGGGCTGATTTGTGTGTGTTCTGACAGCTCCCGGGCTGGTCCGGCGCTTATCTCTACCCATCTTACTTTCATTGACTTAAAACAGCAGCCGGTTTGCCAGGGGGGGTTAAAAAAAAAAAATCCTATTAAATCTCAAACCTAGGACGGAGCGGGGGAATCCGGACCGCTCTCCCCGGATCTGGTGTCCAGAAAGGGAAGACAGGGGGATGTCTCGAGGGAGGTCACGGGTCCGGAGGAGGATGGTAAGGCAGGGGACTAAGACAAAATACGAGCAACACGTTTCTTTTTCTCGCCGTCCCCTTTCCTCTTGTTGAGCTGGATGCCAATTTGCATGTTCTCTCTCCACTCCTGGGCAAACATTTTTTTTTTTCAGTCGCGCATCCACGGACTGAGCCGCGTCCCTCGGCACCCCCAGCATTTCCCAGAGAGCAACACCACCACCCGGAGATCAATGACCAGCCTGTTTATTCTTCACGCGCCTGGAAGGGCAAGGGCACTCAGGGAGCAAGGGAGGGAGGCTTGGGGCTCGCCTGTGCGCGATCTCTCGCAGACTTTTTTTCTAGCTGGTTTCTAAACGGCAGCTAACAAGCAGAGAGAGTTCCTTAATGCACGCAACACATACCAGTCACAATATATTCGCCTAGAAAAGTGAGACATCCTCTCTCCCCCTTTCCACCCTTTGTAGATTTGTCTCTGGAGGTGGGTTGCTAATACCTGGGATTTTTGCACTTGTCTAGGGCGGGAACTTACTGGGGTGTTTGACAATTGATTATTTGGTACCTGCTTTCTAAAAATGGCTAAACACCTTTCCTTAGAACCAAAAGTGAGAAATGCAAATCTTAATAACTCAAGGCAAAAATTGCCAAGTGTAAGCGTGGTTATTATTCACTCCCACAAAGAAAAACTTCCTCTTCCACAAATATTTGATAGCATAGAGCCCAGTAATTAAGAGAACAATCAAATAAACTCAAGGCTTTCATGGGGACTCTAAATTATCATCTGCCTAGAATTTTTAAGCAGTGTTAATCACTTGCCAACTTGAGTATAGCTGGAGCTGTAGCGTTCTAAATGTGTATCCTTAACAATTTTACTATGTTTTCTTAAGTATTTAATGAGCGAGACCACAGATATTAATAATATTCAAATTGCTGGATCAGTGTGGTCTCACCAACTGTGTGAAAAAATTCTCTGTGTGCGTAAAACATCTTGCTGCATGTTAGTGTTCCTCACATTGACTGTATCCCACAGGCTTCAGGTCTTGAAGCACTTGCATAGTAAGAATATAAGAATTCCTAAGAATGCACCAATAATTGCCCTGTGCACCTGGAATTTAAGTGTAATTTTATTCCAAAGAGTTCTTGGCATTTACTAAATGATTTATTCTCATAATACATAGGTAGTTGGTTGTAATGGTTAGCTTTCACTACTGGGGTCTTTATATAACCTGCAAGAAGCAGATCAGGCCAACTGCAAGAAAAACAAAACAAGCTCCGCCCCTCACTACCCATTATATGAAAATAAGTAACATTTGACAGGGGGCTGTTGTTTACAGTGAACTTTTACTTCCTCTTGGCCCATACTCAGTGTAAACAAAGGGACAGAGTGAGTTCTTTGCCCCTAGCTCTCTATCCAGTGAGTGACAAGTGTGCTGGGCTGGCCTAACCCAACCAAGCAGAACAGAGCCACCTTCTCAGGGTTTCAGTGTAACAGCTCCTGGGACCCTCGGGTTTCCTACTTGGAGGAGATGAGAGCCTTGGGCAGAAGGAAGAAGGCTCTGTCTCAAGCTGCCTGGTGAGATATTGGTGAAACTTGAATTACACCAACCTCTTCTTTTCTTTTTTCTTTTTGCTCCTACAGGCAACAGAACTTCCAACCATTTATGGTTATTGAAACCACATGGCCTTAAGACTAACCCTATGATCATTATAGAGCAACAGCATAGCTGATCAAAAACCTCCAGTGGAATGTTTGTTTGTGTTGGGCTTAAAAAAAATACCCATATTTGAAGCAGGACTGATACATGAAAGATCAGTGTTTCCATTTATCAAGCATTTACTATGTGCCTGGATCTTGGCCAAATGCTTTTTACGTATTTTGTCCCTATTTTTTTTTTTGGTCCCTATTTTTTACCACAAACCTGCAAGAAATATTACATCCCTGTTTTGCAGATGAGAAAACTAGAGCTCAGAAAGGTTAAATGACTCGCCCAGAATCATATGGCTTCTAAGTGGTTGTGCCAAGTTGCCAGTACTGTCTGCTCCAGCTTTAAGCCCTTCCACTGCACCTGGATACACTGACATTTTATATTAAGATCAGTCTTTCAGTGAGAAATATTATTTCCTTAAATGCAGAGATTTAAAATACCACATTTGTACTATGTAGTGTCCAGGAATGATCTATGTTGGCATTCTCATGCTGCTTAATAGATAACTGTGAAATTTCCAAGAAAATCTTATGTGTCATATAAAAAAGAGTGTCCATGTATACTAAATATAAAAGGTACCTAACAATATATATGAAATTACCATATTTTATAGGCCAAGCAATTATGTATTATATGTATATATCCATATGATATAAATGGTAAAACAGTAGCTGAAGTGTTAGAATCCATATAATTTTTACAAGCATTGTTCTAAATGCTTTGCATGTATAAACTCATGTAATCTTCATGATCATAATTTTGTAATATCATTTTATAGGAAAGGAAACTGAAGTAGAGGGAGGTTTTATAATTTGTTCAAGTTTACACAATTAGCAGGTGATGGAGCCTGGATTCAAACCAAGGTACTCTAGCTTTAAGACCTTATCTACTTTGTTATGCTACCTTTCAATATATATACTCAGATGTATAAACAGTCTGCATACTTATACTCATAGGCCTATATGCTACAGTTGTTCCTTAACATAGATTTCAACTGCACAGGTCAATTTATAGGCAGATATTTTTTTCATAAACACCACAGTTCTACTCCATCTACAGTTGGTCAAATCTCCAGGTACACAGGGCAGACGACAGGACTTGAGAATCCGGGGATTTTGGTATGCAGGCATGTCCTGAAACCAATACCCTGTGGATGCCCAGGGATAACTATGTAGATTTAACTCTCAACTTTAGGGGAAAATAAAGGCATGTCAACTGAGATTTGTTGCATCCCCATATTCAAACTGCCTCCTGCAGCACTAGAAGTATTATTGATGGGAGAGGCATTTACATTTGTCCAAGGTATTAAAGATTCTCTAAAAATTGTTAAGGCAGTCTCAAGCTCCCAAACATACTTGCAGGCATTGTTTTGTTGCAGTTGTTTTAGTCGTTAAGTTGTGTCTGACTGTTTGCAACCACATGAACTGTAGCCTGCTAGGCTCCTCTGTCCCTGGAATTTCCCAGGCAAGAATACTGGAGTGGGTTGCCATTGCCTTCTCCAGGGGAATCTTCCCGACCCAGGGATCAAACCCATGTCTCCTGCATTGGCAGGTGGATTCTGGGGAAGTGCTTATGAATATGAATTAGGAGTGTACAACATTTGACCCCAGTTGATTTGTACTAAGTTCATTTTGGATTTCTTTGGTCATATGTGTTAAAAAGAGCAGAGATAGGGTACTTGGGAATCCTAAAGAAGATAGTGAAGGAGGCTAATAAATACAAAAATCTGTGACCTGAGAAGTAGAGGGAAATTTAGAGGATGCAAGAAACCAAATATGTCATGTCATCATAATGGTTATGAATAATCCATTTTTATTCATTTTTTTAATTCATTTTTTAAGTTAGGGTAGTTTGTCAACTCTCACTCCATTAACAAGAGTATATTATATAGTGGTTATTTAATATAATGGTTATTTATGTTTAACAATTATTGACTAAAACAATTGTATCTCTCAAAGGAACCTTAAAATATTTGATAAGAATCCCAGATATATGAGTAGTTTATCCCATGTCCATTTTTCTTTATGTATATCAAATTGTAAAAGTGAGCTTCTCCAGAAACTAACACAACATTGTAAATCAACTATACTCCAATAAAAATTAATTTTAGAAGACTTTAAAAAATAAAAGTTAGCTTCTCCAAATCAGTCAACTTTGAGAAAATACTGTGAGATCATCTCTTTCTCTTCTTCTCTCCCTAAATACAATTAGGGATTATCTGTGGAAGGAAAAGTAACTGATGACAATCTTCCTTCCTTGGATCCTCT